GTGATGTAGTATGATTCCTTGTTGGTGGTCGTAGACTTGGTGTAGTGATTAGCATGTTCGGACTGTGAATCTGGTTGGTGGTCGAGACTTGGTATAGTGATTAGCATGTTCGGACTGTGAATCTGGTTGGTGGTCGAGACTTGGTATAGTGATTAGCATGTTCGGACTGTGAATCTGGTTGGTGGTCGAGACTTGGTATAGTGATTAGCATGTTCGGACTGTGAATCTGAGGATTAAAAGTTTGCGATCCTTTGCCACAAAACACACTCCGCACTTTGAGACCGTGGATGAACTATAAGAGTGTCGGATAATTTCTACTATTCCATCAAACAAGAGTAGCTCAACATTTGGCGGTGGGTGCTGTTGACAAACTGCATTGCCTCTCGTAAAGTAAATGAATACTTTTCAACATTATGAATGAAAATAAAATTTATTTTTATAATACATTTTAACCTCTTCATTCTTAGGGATTTCCAGTAACAATTGTTTTGGTGTGTACGTGTTTTACAAGTCGGCAAAAACTGATTATAGTTTCATTTGTCATAAGACGTTAGAATTAGGCCTAATACATTTTAACCACTTCATTCTTAATCTAGTCACTTAGGGACTTCCAATAATTAGAAGAGTGTATAAAAATAATATTCTAACCATACTATATTCAGAATCCCTAAGGGACTAGATAAAGAGTGAAGTGGTTAAAAATGCATTATGTCTAAATATAACGTCTTAAAACAAATGTAATTGTATATTTGAAATATATATATTGTTACGACACCGGAAGTCACACGACGCTGGGAGCATGCGCGCTGGAGTTTCTCGAAGGATCATGAATTATCGAGGAACCACGCGAATGTCCGAGTGTTTGCCAGGCGCCCTCTTTTTTATTATATAAGCCCGGCAAATAAAACCAGCGATAGATAAATATGCAGATAGATTGAAGAGATAGATAACTGAGTCAAGCAAACAGTAGGCACCGTTAGTAAAATGTTTTGAATCGCTGTGATTTATAGCGTATGTTATAAAGGTTGTTAAATTCAAAGTGACTGTGGAAATTCTGTGTATTACAAAAAGTTGTATCAAGAAAAAATAAACTAGTTTTAATTAAGAAAGTGAAGTTCCTCGAAAAGAATATATACCGGAAATTAACAAACGAGCAGATACGTAACAAACTGGTGTGAGAAAGTGGTACAGAAAAGGGAAAAAAGAAAAGAAAAAGGAAGATGGAAACGAGAAGTGGCAAATCAAACTACAGCTTAACAGATTTGATGGCAGCGATACAAGAAGAGCAAAAGAAACAAGAAGAGAGATTACAG